TTGCTTTCTGGTGATAATAAACCCTTTTAAAAAAAATTGGGTCACTCAATCCACAGCTGTTTGTGGGACGCTGCTGTGTGTAATTGGCTGCCGTGTTTCGCCCACAAAATACACAACCACTTTACAGTGTATCCTGTTAAGCACTTTGAGATGTCTCAACGACGGGATAAGGTGCCGTATCAAATGCAAGGATTTTTATTATATCAATGCAAATTGTCGTTGTGGACTTGAGATTTCCCAAAGCTGCAAAGTTCTGCATTAAAAACAATGCAAAGTGCCGAGCCTTTTAATATTACAGTATATTTAAGCATAAATTACAGGACATTGAACCACAACACACAGACAGACCACTGCTCCCAGGTCTCTGACAATAGCTACACATTCTTTGTTCTTATTTTAAATAGCGTCTCACCCAGGCAAAGCAATAGTACGTTAAATAGAACCACAAGCGCTCTTCAATCTTACACAGCACAGAGAGAGGGAGGGAGTTTGGCTTTTTATCAAAGCATTTACTATACAATGTGTTTCTCGAAGCCTGGTTCTACACAGGAATTCACACATGCCAATGTTCTCGACAGCAAAACGTACAGGGATGGAGTGAAGCAGTTCAGATGTGTTCTACCAGCCATTTCCAGTGAATGTAGTGTGTCTGGATTCAATATTGCAGACCCCCATATTCTTGCCCAAGCCTCGTTGGAAATCCCGTCGCTATATTTTGACAACAAAAAAAATGAGAGAAACCTGGATTTAAAGGAATATTGTCAAATGAAATTCAGCTCTGCTGAAATAAGGAATGGCCATCCCACTATAGGTGAGCAGTTGATTATGTTTTTACCTATATCATGCAACCCACATGAATGCTGAGCCATCACTTAGCCACCACTGGCAGTTAATTTGGAGGCTATTAAGCGGAGATTTCTAACAGCACTCCTCAATATGTTTGTCTTGCTGTGAAAATCCCCCTGAGAAAACCATTCTGGAAGTGGATCATGTCAGGTATCGACTCTTTCCTTAGAAACCTGGTTAGAAATGGTCGCATTTTAGTCCTCAATCCCAGCCATTTCCTACCTCTATCTTTCCAAACAACACGCAGAAAGTTTCCCCACAAAATATAGTCAATACAGAAATATATCCTGCGAAGCGCTTTGAGACGTTTCGAAGATGTCATAAGGCGCTAAATCAAATGTGACTATTATTCTTAAAATCGTGATAACTTGCACTGATGTAGCGCCACATAAACTAATGGTCCTTTTATTTGATATAGAAGTCACTCACTTATATAAAGCGTTGTGATATCCGAAACGGAATTAGAAGCTAAATATCACTGCATATCGCAAGCTCTTTGTAAACTCTTCTCTGGCGATCAGTCAGAGTGGCAGTGGGTGGGCGGTGAGTGGGGGAAAAGGGAAGCTGTTGTTGTGCAACTCAGTGTTATGTGTGGCTTTTTTTTTTGCTGGTAACTGCACAAGGTTTACGATAGAAACCAAGCAAACGACCTGTTTGCCAGACAGGGTATTGTCCACCTGGATGGAAATCATGAGAATTGGAGATCCTGACATCACCTCCCAGTCACATCTCATTGGACGATAACGACACTGATTTAGATTTAGTTTGGCTACAGGCAAATTACTGCGCGATGGGAGAGACAGCAGAACTGCTCAGTGATTGAAAGGGGAAGGAATGACCAAAATAAAACGCTACAGTATACGAAGGCAAACATTGAATCCAGGCCCTGTGGTTTGGCAGAGCTCATATTTGGAGATCACCACGGCAGCCATTTACAACGCAAAAACGTTAGCTATTGTGTATATAGCATAAGGAGTAAAACAGCCAGTGCTAATACTTAATGATGAGTACATTTCAAAATGGAATGACACAGTTGACGTGATCACAAAGTGGCACTTTATAGAATCCTGCAACTCCCAACTCTGTGTGTTTGCCCAGCAGCTCGGGTTTTGGATGAGCCAGACCCAATCCATGTATTAATGCATATGTTTAAACATTCCCCGCCCCACCACACGAGCCCAATCCCCACCATCACCCCTCACACACACACACAAATAAAAATAACAATTGATATTTGAACGTAGATTTTGCATAAACGCATGTTGGAAATTCTCATACTGTGACAAACAACCTGGTTTGCTCACCTTGGATGTCACCATCTTGTTTAAGTCTAGGTAAGATTACACTGAACATTACGTGCTGCGAGAGCGAGTCCATGATAACGTGAAGCTAACTGACACTGCTGGATTCCCTCCTGTCAAAAGCACTGCGTGAGTCAAGTCACTAAACAGCATTGAAATGATGTCCTCAGCAAATAAGTTAACTGCCCAGAGAGAGGAAACCAAACAAAATGGTTGTGGGCCATCAAGGCAACGCATCACAGCAAAGGGCTGTAAATGTTACTTCAGGGAATAATCTGCTCGTTTGGACTGAACAGAAATTATGATCTGTTAATCCTGTATATTTGTGGGAATAACTACATAGTTTAATTCTGTGGGTGAAAGCCTTTTAATGTCTCAGTGAATGAAAGATGAAGGGGTCGGGGGTTGGTGGGGAGAGGGGGAAATACAATGGCACATTGAGACAAGGGCGTGAAGGGGCATTGGTTAGTGAATAGCTTCCACTGACCGCTTAATGGTGACGTGCTGTCACAAGCAGGTGTCCAGGAGAGATGGAGCGGAGGGTGGGGCTGTTCACATCAAAGCTCTGTGAGAAGACACAGCTATTTACCCTCTTCCCCCACATACCAGAGAACAAGGTCTTGGAAGACAAACTGAGATAAATTAAGAACTTTCATGAGTCCTAACCAAAACAGAAGTGAATAATATTATTATTATAACTAAAACAGATGTACCTGTATAGGATAGTTTGGATACTCATGACCTACAACAATAGGAGTAAAAATCAGTCTTTCAATTATTGCTCCTCTTTTCCCAAATCCAAAACAAGCGCCTTCTTCCCCACCGCCCCCGCTCCTCCCTACCCTCCTCCTGTCCAGCTTCCATTGGACCACTTATCTGACTTGTGAAGACATTGTCCGTCCGCAAGCCCCTTCTCCCCCCACTCCGAGCCTTGCCAAGTGCTCAGCTCTGATGGAGCAGCTTCCAACTGCCCAAGTCAATCTCCCCAGAGATGGGTGAGGCCCACATCATGTGACCCAAGACTCATTCCTGATTCAGGAAATGTGAGGAGAGCCGAGACTTCAGGAGAAATGTCTGGCCTTTAGACTATTGACCCACTCCTTCCCCAATTACTGTACACATTTCTCCTTCACTAGTCTGTACTTGTTCTCACGTTGCTATGGCACCAGTTTCCCCCTCTGATATTACGGGTAAATTCCCCCTTTCCACCCACTTCTTGTGGGAAACCATGGCTTTTGTTGCCACGTCTGGAATGGAACAGGTGCTGGGGTGGGGGGTGGGAGAGAGAGAGAGGGGGGAGAGAGAGGAAAGGAAACTGATCACAGGATTCTTCACTCTGATAAACCTGGTGAAGGGTTAGAAACGAACTTGGATTCCTACAGCATATCAATGCCTCAGAGAGCTTCAGAGTAATGGCTGTTGAGCGTAGGGACTATTTTTGTAGGCAAGCATTGGCAAGGGACGCCACATAACAGCTTCCCCTCCCCCAAACCCACTTGGAAATTATAAAAAGAATTGTTGGGGGCTTGGGGGAGGAGGGGGGGGGGAGAGGAGAGGAAATAAAAGCAAGTTAAAATTGAATACAGAGGCTAATAATGTGATGGTTGACTGATTGGCAGGAAATCCTGTTGCAGAATGGAGACAGCGCTGACCTGCGAATACGTTAGAGAGAGATATATATGTAAAAAAAGGAGGAATTAAAATTGAATCGAGACGATACAAGGCCAGCTCCTGTCATGCGATGCTGTGTTGCTGCCACATACTGTACTCACCAGTGGCTAATCCCACAAAGGCCACCCTGGGGTGGGGAGAGAGGGGGGAGACAGTGCCATGCAGTACGCACTCACTGCCACTAGGGGTCTCCACAGAAACGGGTGACTTCTTTTCAAAGGCGGCGTCTGCCACCGAGCGGCAGAAACTGCAAACAGCAACAGATGTGGAATTTTTTTCACCCCCACTCCCCCCCCACACCCCAAAAAACGTATGTTAACACTACAGCAAATGGGTAAATGAACTTCTGTGACCACTATTTTTTTTATAATATTTAAAACTACAAGGAACAATGTTAGGCTGTGAGCAACGACATCATTCACATCATGGAGAGGAGTCATTTCTTTCTATTTCTATCAATGGGGGAGGGGGGAGGTTTAAATATCGCATCGCTTGCTGCTTTTGTTACAAGAACGAGTGTGCGTTGGTTTGATATGCTAACGGCTGACGCCAGCCCAGCCCCACCACCCGATATTGAGGTGAAACAACAAAGTACACGTTTAGCCATTTCAGATGCAGCCTTTGAGTCAGACAGACGCCATTATGAAACTCACACAATTCCTTCTAAACAGGTAGGTGGTGTGTCACCCACCCTGCCCTTCGAGATCACAATCAATCAAGGTATGAGGTTCTAGCGGGAGTGTTGCAGGATTCTATACGTAGTGCTGATTAGATCCTGTAATGACACAGAGCTATGGACACAGTAGGGATTGGGGTCTGTTCACGCCAGGGTGACCTTCTTCTCCTCAGGTGTCTCCTCTAGCAGCTGAATGAGCAGTTCGTAGAGGGGTTTGGCTACCTTGGCGTAGCCGATCTGGGTAAGGTGCAGGTAGTCGAACATGTCGTGGTGGGAGATGGTGCCGTCCGAATGGACAAAGTCCCCGTCGACGTTCAGGAACTGCATGTTGGGGAACTTCAGCAGCGACTTCTTGAGGAGCTGGTTCACGGCTCTGTTCTTTTCCCGTAGACAATTGGGCCTCTCTCCGCGGGGCAGCAGACCCTACACACGAGAGGAGCCACAAATAAAGCATAGGCAGCGTTCAGCGTGGGTTAGCTCTTCTTTCCCCTTACACTGCACCCCACCCCACTCACACACATATCCCTCCTCCCCACACACCACACACATACCCCTCCCACACACCTCTCCCCTAACCCCCACCCCCACATGTTCCCTTCATATACTTTTATTTTTCAATTATTTGTCTAATTTCCTTTTAAAAGCAATGGTAGATTCTCCATCAGTCAGACTTTTTGGTCAGGTGTTGTGTCCAGATTTTAATAATAATCCTTGCATTTGATACAGCGCCTTTTCACGTCATTGAGACGTCTCAAAGCGCTTCACAGAATATACTGTAAAATGGATTGACGCACAGCAGTGTCCCACAAACAGTCGTGGATTGAGTGACCAAATTATGATTTTTTAAGGATTTATTAACTGGAAAAGTGATCCGCCAATCGACTAACAACTGGGTTCCTACTTACTGCTGGGTAAACAGAGGTGTGTGGAGTAAGGAATGAGGAAGGAAACTTGCCTAAGGTTTCACCTTGCCCAGGGATCGAACCCGGGTCCTCTCTCTTGCGAGGCTAGCATGCTAGCCATTACACCACGGGTCTCTTATTGGACCTCTCTCACACCAGCCCTGGACTGTACGACTTGGATAAACATTAGGCTCGATGCCATCACTGAGCTGTGCTATGGTGACACTTTCTTGGACTTTTAAGAATTGGGTCACTCAACCTACGACTGTTTGGGGGACACTGCTGTGTGCGATTGGCTGCTGCATTTTGTCCACAAAATACAGTCAATTCAAGGTATATTCTGTGAAGCACTATGATACGTCTCAACGATGTGATAAGGTGCGATATCAAATGCAAGGATTATTATTATCATTCCCCTGACTCCTCTTCAGCATCAGGTGTTTGGTTGCTGAGCTCAGACTGGGGCCTTGCGATGTGAAGGGTCCGTGGTTCTGAATGGGGGCCTTAGTGCTTTATGACGCAGTAAGTGTGATGAGCTTTGGGACGTCCTCCCGACGTGAAAGGCACTTTATAAATGTAATTTGTTGTTGTTGTTGATGGGTTTTCAAATCACTTAATTCCCTGACACCTCCCTACCTCTCCGACCTGCTTAACCCCCCCCCACTTCAACACCTCTGCTTGGTTGGCTCTGGCCTCCAGTTTGTCCCTTGTTCCCTCCACTTCACCATCGGTGGCTGCGCCTTCAGCCACTACACCCTGAAACTTTTTGATCGTGCTTACGGTCACTTCGCCCCCCTTCCTCTCACATTGCCTCGGGGTCAGACACCACCACTGCTCTGGGACGTTACCCGGTGGGAAAGGTACTGTGTAAACGTAAGTTGTTGTTGATGATGGCTTAAGAACCTGTACTATCGCTCTATACAGCCCGCATGGGTACGATCCACAGCAATATGCTGATGAGGGTTGTGCCAGTACAGTTCTGAGGTTAGCTGGTAAGAATGTGCGTGACGGTGGTCCTAGAGGACCTGTAAGAACAGCTTCTCTGCTGGCAGTGTTTAACTCCGCTATCTCCCCTGTGCCCCAGTATTCTCCTTGTGAGAAAAACAAAGTGAGCACAGACTCCAAACAATACCAATCCTATCTCCCTGGGTCATAAAACCTTTGAATTTTATAGGAGAGAATGTGGCTATTGGGTTTTAAAATAATAATTAACCTTGCTTTTGATACAGCTCCTCTTTGTAAACCATCACTTCTTTGAGATGTCTCAAAGTGCTTCACAGAATATACTGTAAATTGAACTGACTTATTTTGTGGCCAAAACGCGGCAGCCAATTACGCACAGCAGCGTCCCACAAACAGTTGTGGATTGAAGTGACCAATTTATTATTGCTTTTTTTTGAAGGAATTATTACCACCGGAAAAGCGATCCACCAATCGACTAACAACTGGGTTCAACAACAATAATAATCCTTGCATTTGTTCTAGCGCCTTATCACATTGTTGAAATGTCACAAAGCACTTTACAGAATATATTGTAGAGTGAATTGACTGTGTATTTAGTGGGCGAAATATTTGTGTAACTTCCTTTTAAAAGCAATGATGGATTCTCCTTTCAATCAATGTTTGTGGTCAGGTGTTCCATGTCCAAACATATGTGGGTGTGTATAAAATATTCAAACCTCTCCCTTTTCTTTTGATAATGATCTTAAAATTTATGTCGTACAGTTACCGACTCATTAGCTCACTGCTAGCACCTGGGACGAAACTCTTCACTACAAAGGTACCTGAGGATTCACTCATCGACTCTTACCAAAACCACCACTTTGGCTTGAGGTTGTTGTCTATTAATTAGCTGTACAATGGCCTCGATCCCACCAACCACTTCCTCCGCTGTGTGTTCGTGATTGTTCGTTCCCACCCACACGACAATGACCTGAAAACATTTCACACTTTTTACAAAATCCGAAAAAGTTTCAGCATCATCTTTTACTTATGATAATTTTTACTTATGATAATTTACAACCTCAGTAAACAAAAAACCCTCCAATTTGTTAATTATTGCTCACAAAGAAATATAGGAACTTTATGAAACAAACTCAATGGTTGATTCTGACTCAATAAACCTTACTATTGTAGGGTTAGGGTTACCCCCTCCTTCCTCTCTGACCTGCTAACCCCCTATCAACCTGTCCGCTCCCTCTGCTCAGCAGGCTCCGGCCTGCTTCAGATCTCCCGCCCGGCCCAGCACCACCATCGGCGGCCGGGATTCCAGCTTCTCTCTCCACCCTTTGGAACTCCATCCCACAATCCCTTTGGCTCGCTCCCTTGCCTCCTTCAAGGCAGGACTCAAGACCCTCCTTTTCAATCGTACCTTCAGCCGTCCTCCTACTTTCTCTACCTTCCCTCATCCCAAACCTGCCTCCCCCACGCTCAAGTCCTGATCCCCGACTGGTCAGAGCCTTGGGATGTCCTCCCGTATTGTACCTTAGGTTTGATGTTTTCCAGTTCCCCATTCTCAAGTCTCCATAGGACGTGCCGTGTGGTGTCTCCTCCGATCCCAAAGTTGAGTGCGTGAAGTGGGGAGAACAGTTTTCTCCAAACCTACACAACATATAGAAATCTCTGACACTCCAGCCAACATCAGTCTTAGTTTAACAACCTGCACTGATAAGAAATCAAAGCTTCACTCCAATCCAAGTCTAGGCTGCTTCATATTTGGGACAAAATGTTACCATATTATAATAATAATCCTTCTATTTGATATAGCCTTAAAACATTGTTGAGCCGTTCAAAGCGCTTCACTGAATATACTGTAGAGGGGACTGTGTGGGCGAAATGCGGCAGGGTATTGCGCACAGCAGTGTCCTACAAACAGTCGTGGATCCTAATTATTGCTAGATAAACAGGCGTGTGGAGTAAGGAAACTTGCCTAAGGTTTCGCCCTGCCCGGGAATCAAACCCGGGTCCTCTCACTTGCTCGGCGATCACTCTAACCACTGAGCTCCAGGATTCCACTTTTCCATATTCTAGAACAATCTGTTGAATCTGAAAATAGCTTTTGCCAAAAACTCAGTTACTGAGCCATTTTTTGCACTTTGATGCGTGCTTTTTTTTAACCTTAATAAATCAAGATGAATAACTTGAGTCTAATATGATCTCATTTGATCTCTGTAATAAAAATGAATAATAATCCTCACATTTGACAACAACAACTTGCATTTATATGCAAGAGTAGGACGTCACAAAGAGCTTGATGAGATTTACGGCACCTCGAACAGTACAAGGCTCCCCTCCACCACCACCAACCCCGTGCACGTACTCAAAGATTTGGAGATTTTAACAGAGAATGAAAACTCCTTGCTTTCTTACCTCGTACTGTTGCATAAGCTGAACCATGGAGTCCCCAACAAAAAGGATATCAGGCTCCTTGTCTTTACATTCCAACACAAATTGGCTGTGCTGTGAGAGGAAAACGTTTATTAACTGCGATTCAATCTGACAATATTCTTTCTCTCTCTCTCTCTCTCTCTCTCATAGAAACACTGGAATTGCTAGACGAAAAAAGACCAAGGTCCATTCAGTTCGCCTTCTGCCAACAGTGGCATGCGTATGTTGTGTCCAGAACTACTCATATACTGTATCCAGAAATATTACCTCCAAAAATAAATCTATCTAATTTGCAATGAAAAGAATCAATATTTTCTGCTTCCGCCGTCCGTCTCTCAGTGGAGCCTGTACCTCCCTTTACTGGGCTATTTAGGAGAATATTCAGAAGGGTTTAAATTCCAGTCTGGGCTAAGTTAGTTGATCTCAGCCAGGGCAAAATACTAGGGCTACAGCTGGACTCGGCTCACCTTGGGCTGGGGAGATGGGCAACGGTTATTCTATAAAATAATAATAATCCTTGCACTTGATATAGCACCTTCTCACGCTGTTGAGATGTCTGAAAGTGCTTCGCAGGATATACTGTATTTTGCGGGTGAAACGCAGCAGCCAGTTGGGCACAGCAGTGCCCATAAACAGCCATGGAGTGAGTGACCATCTTGGGGGATTGTTGGCCAGGACACCGGGAGAGAGAAACTCCCTTCTCTTTTCGAACAGCGTCGTGGGATCTTTAACATCCAGCTGAACAGGCAGACGGGGAGCTCGGTTTAACGGATATCAAGAGGACGGCATCTCCGACAATGCGATCTCCCCCCAGTGCTGCATTGGAGTGGCAGCTTAGACAATGCAATTCCAAGTCCCGACTTGAGCCCACAACAACTTACATTTATACAGTACCCCTCACCAGGATAGCGTCCCAGAGCACTTGACTCAGTAATGTCTCAAAGATAACTCTTGCTATCACAGAGGAGGATTTGTGCAAGGATGTTCTAAGAAGTCATAACCAGCGTTCTTACCAGTGATAACCAGCGATTGTCTCCGTGCACGTCCTCTGCGCAGAGTGGGATCGCTGCCTGATTCATGTCCTCTTGGCTCATTGTTGCCACCAGAGATGGGTCCAAAGGATGAGAAGCGTGAGAGTGAAAGCGGGCCTCTGTGCCTCTGAAATATGACCAGCTCTCAACCTGGAAGCTAGTCAGGGGTTTGCTACTAAAAAGAAGCTGTGAAAGAGGGAAACACGTTTCTGATTAAGATTAAGATCACTGATGCATTGCAAAGCCCTGTATTTATAATAGTAATCACTGCATTTGATACAGCGCATTACCACTTTATTGAGACGTCCCACAGCGCTTCACAGAGTGTAAAATAGTGTAAAATGGAGTGAAATGCGCCAGACAATTGCGCACAGCAGTGTCCCACAAACAGTCCTGGATTGAGTGACCACATTTTTATTTTTTCTGGAGGGATTCTTTCTTTCCCTAGGAAATGTCTCAAAGCGCTTGACAAGTAACTGATCCAAAGAAAATGTCCGTCTCGCTCCCTCTCCCTCGCCTCCTTCAAGGCCTGCCTCAAACCAATCTTGATTCTAAGCAAGCGAGGCGGGAGAAATGTGGGATGGAGTTCCAGAGGGTGGGGGCAGACAGGCTGTAGGCCCGATCGACGATGGTGGGGCGGGCCGAGCAGGAGAACATGGAACAAGGCGGAGCCCGCTGATCAGGGGAAAGAGCACAGGTTGATAAGGGGTTAGCAGGTTGCAGAGGTAGTAATAATAATAAATAATAATAATCCTTGCATTTTGATATACCACTTTTCAAGTTTTCTCGACATCTCAAAGCGCTTCACAGAATAGACTGTAAAGTGAATTGACCGTATATTTGTGGGCGAAAGTAGGGAGGGCCTTGAATGTGAGGACGAGGATTTTGTACTTGATCCGCTGAGGGATGGGAAGCCAGTGGAGCCGGGCGAGGATGGGGGTGATGGGGTAACGGGGCCTGGTGAGAGCGAGGACATGAGCTGCAGAGTTCTGGATGCTCTGCAGCTTGTGGAATGAAGAGGTGGGAAGGCCGACAAACAGGGAGTGGACGCAGTACATAGTGATGAAACATGTGCAGGCAAAACAGGCACCATGAAAATTTACAGAAAAAGAAGACAATGGCATGATCTACAGCATCTACAGCGTGTTTTGTCACTGAAATCCAGGCAGTTTCCGCCATCCTGAGCTATTGTACGCTGCACTGCAAAGAAAAGCCTGTACAACAGCAAAGTACTGAGACCAGCATTCACAAGCAATAACATCTGCTGCACTGCAGTGCTCAGCAACAGCATTGTGAAGGCATCCCACGTGCACAGGCAAAAGAGGCACCAAGCAGCAACAGGAGCTGGGCTTTACACAGCCTTAGGGACTATTCCTCCTGCCCTGATGTCTAGTAAATGTCCGCCTCACGCCCTCCCTCTCCTCCTTCCAGGCCTGTCTCATGACCTTCCTCTGACAGTGCCCCCCCACCCACCCACGTGGGACGTGATGCCACATGATGTTCACTGAGCGGAAGAAATGGCTGTGCGTTAGGGTTGTGGCAATCGCCAACTGACAAACACAACAACCTCTGAAACCCTCCCAAATACTAACAGCTTGATGTGCGCTTGCAGGTCTTGTAATAAAAGGTGGCAACTGTGGCCCCAATTGGCTGGCCATCCTCCAGCTCAAATTGGTCGTTCACCTCATAGCTGTTCTTGGGACAAATGGTTGTTGGCTTTGCTATCAAAAAACAGTCACTGCACTTGACAGTAATTAATAATAATAATCCTTGCATTTGATATAGGGCCTTAACACAGCATTGAGATGTTTCAAACACTTCAAGGGATATAATAATAATAATCCTTGCATTTGACATAGCGCTTTTCATATAAGTATATTTATAAATATTTGATATAACGCAAAGTGCAGTGACTGAGCATCTTGTGGGCGAAACGTGGCAGCCAACTGCGCACAACAGTGTCGCACAAACAGTTGTGGATCGAGTGGCCACATTTTTTTAAACTTGTGAAGTGCTTTGAGATGCTAGGATGTGTGATAAGGCACAATAAAAATCCTTTTGTCTTCTCTAATTATAATGGCTTTGCTCGTGCCCTTTCACAGTGTCACACGCACATGAGAATACAATTCCCAGTTTACAACATTTGTTTCCTAATTAACCCGATCAGCATATCAGATAACATAGAGCGAGATGATTTAAGGCACGGGTAATGATTCTAGGTCTTGAACCCTTGAACTGATCCAGGCAAAATACTGGAGGAAAAGACAGGATGAAATCTCTCTCTACACCGAAATCTATGAATCTATGAATATGGACAACTCACCGTGACAGCCCAAACATGCTGAATAACCTACATTTTACAGAGATTTTCACACCAGACGAATGCCTCTAGGAGCTTCACAAAATAAGAATAATTATGAATACGGAGATTTTGTCACACAACAGCCAATTACAATGTGGGTAGCGCTCTCTCTCCTCCCTCTGAGTCAGAAGGTTGTGAGTTCAAGCCCTCGCATCAGGACTTGGAATCATATCGTCTAAGCTGACGTTCCAATACAGTGCTGGGGGTGGGGTTGCTATATTATCAGAGGCCTCATCTTTCGGATTAGACATTAAACCAAGGTCCCGTCTGCCTGTTCAGGTGAATGTTAATGATCCCAAGGCACTATTCGAAAAGAGAAAGGAGTCACAGTCAATAATCCCCAAATAAAATTGCTCACTCACTCCATGGCTGTTTGTGGGACACTGCTGTGTGCAACTGGCTGCTGCATTTCACCCATAATATGCAGTCAATACCCTTTACAGGATATCCTGTGAAGTGCTTTGAAACATCTCAACGACATGATAAGATGCTATATGAAATGTAAGGATTCTTATTATTATTATCAGCAATGTGCCACAAATAATAAGATGGTTCTGTGGAGGTGAAACTGTTTGAGGAAGAAATATCTGTCTGAATAATTAGGGAAAAACTCCCCACTTTTCTTTGAAATAACAGCATGGGATCTCTTTACACTACAAGGCAGATGTGATCCAGGTTGTCTGGAATAAAATAACACTATTAAATATCGTAGCTTATTAAACTGAAACATGTCCAAGGGCTTAAGACTTACTTTGAAATGTTATATATTATACATAATAGAGAGATGGAACTATATTTACACAAGATGATGGGCTATAAATGCTCGTTTACAATAATAATAATAATAATAATCCTTGCATTTGGTATAGCGCTTTTCACGTCGGGAGGACGTCCCAAAGCGCTTCACAGAACACACTGTAAAGTGAATTGACTGTACATTTGTGGGCGAACGCGGCAGCCAATTGCGCACAGCAATGTCCCACAAACAGTCGCAGATTGAAAATGACCAATTTTATTATTGTTTTGTTTTTTTGGAGGGAATATTATTAGGCTCTGTGTGGAGTAAGGAAACTTGCCCAAGGTTTCGCCCTCTGCCTGGTATTGAACCCAGGTCTCTCACTTTCAAAGCGAGTGCTCTAACCACTGAGCTACAGGACTCCATAATGTTATAATATAATAATGATCCTTGCATTTGATATAGCACTTTTCATATCTTCTAGACGTCTCAAAGCACTTCAAAGAATATACTGTAAAGTGAATTGACTGTATAGTTGTGGGCAAAACATTGCAGCCAATTTCGCACAGCAGCGTCCCACATACAGTCGTGGATTGAAGTGACAAATTTATTATTTTTTTGAGGGATTATTATCAGGTGTGTGGAGTAAGGAAACTTGCCCAAGGTTTCGACCTGCCGGAATTTGATCCCAGGGCTCTCGCTTATGAGGCGAGCGCTCTAACCACCAAGCTACAGGTGGACTCATCTAAATTTTCAACATTTTTATTAAATTGAAAATTCTAGCTCTACTTCACCCCCCCCCACCCGATGGTTTATTTGTGATCTCAACTTCCTACGTACACAGGAACAGGAGGAGGCCATTCAGCCCCTCAAGCCTGTTCCGCCATTCTATTCTATTCAGCTGATCTGTACCTCAACTCCATATACCCATCTTTGCATCATATCCAGTGATACCCTGACCTGACAAAAATCTATCCACCTCAGACTTGAAAATCGGAATGGATCCAGCATCCACAGCCTTTTGGGATAAGCTGAAATAGTTTCCCTTCATCATTTTAAACTCCTTAAGCAAATCACCCTTTCACCTGAAGGTGGGTGCACAGGAAGCGATAGGTTTATTTTACTAATATCCTGGTGCTATCCATACACACATCCGACACACAGCTCAATCTACATTAAGGCACATTTTTGTTTCTTTCAGAGAAGAAGCTGCCTGACCTTCATAGTTTGTTGACCTACTAAATACAAAGAATGATGTCAAGAAGGAGGGAAGCTAAGAAGCCGCCTTTCACACGGAGTTATTAGAACATAAGTTACTTTGCCAGAAACAACTGATGGATTCCAGTCTCACTCTTTGGCTCCCATCTCTCCGTCCGATTATTCAAGCCTTTGGCTACCTCCCTGCTCCATTTATCTGGAGGATTATTGACTGAGACACCGGAACAGACTAATGTCTCTTTCCCAGTAATGTCACTGAATGTTTTAATGTTCAACTGAACAAGCAAGACCTTGGTTTAATGTCTCATGTGGGATGCTGTATCTTATTGGTTAGAGCACTCGCCTCACAAGTGAGAGCACCCGGGTTCAATTCCTGGGTAAGTTTACTTATACCACAGGCCTCGGTTTACCTAGCAGTAAGTAGGAACCTGGTTGTCAGTCAATTGGCAGATCACTTTTCCAGGGATAATAAGCCCTTCAAAAAAAATCATAATTTGGTCATTCATCCCTCCCTACCAACCTGCCCGCTCCCTCCATTCATCAGGCTCTGGCCTGCTCCATGTCTCCCGCCCGACCATCGATGGCCGGGCTTTCAGCCTCTCTGCCCCCACATTCTGGAACTCCATCCCACGGCCCCTTCGCCTCGCTTCCTCCCTCGCCTCCTTTAAGGCCGGTCTCAAGACTCTTCTCTTCGACCGTGCCTTTGGTCCCCCTCCCACCTCTCTGCCTTCCCTCAACAACAACAAGAAGATTGCATTTATAGAGCGCCTTTCACGTCGGGAGGACGTCCCAAGGCACTGGACAGTTCGGTCGGGTCCCGAGCAGTGGGAAATGGTCAGGATGAGGGAAGGGAGGGAGTGAGGAGGGGAG